TAGTTATTATCTTTACAGGATGAGGGATGCAATTTTTAAAATGTATTCTTTTTATTGGAAAGGCAGGTTTACAGAGGGAGAGACAGAGAGAAAGATCTCCTCTCCAATGGTTCATTTGCCAAGTGACCACAATGACCAGAGCTGAGCTGATCTGAAGCCAGGAGCCAGAAACTTGTTCCGGGTCTCCCATATGAGGGCAGGGTCCCAAGGCTTTGAACCATCCTCTTCTGCTTTCCCAAGTCACAAACAGGGAGCTGGATGGGAAGTGGAAGCAGCCTGAAAAATCAGTGCCCAAATGGGATCACAGTGCATGCAGGACACATGCAAGGCAGGGATTTTAGCCACAAGGCTATCACACCAGGCCAAAGAGATACATTCTTTAACATTCTCCAAGCCCGAATGCAAACATTAAACATCAAAGAATTCACAACCTTGATTTTCAGAAATTTTGTGAAACATACCTTGCAAGAGTGCTTAAAGGATCTGGTCAAATGGAACTTCCTAATATCATGAAATTATATTCTTTAGTTACAGTAACTTTACCTGTTTTAGACCAGATTTAATCCTAAGTAAAAAGTGATCAAATATTTGAAACTATATCCACATTTTAAAACAATTTAACTCTTTTAAGACTCAGTGTTTTCATCAATGCTTTCCAACAATCAGTATGTAAGAGATAGAACAGAACACAATAGATTACTGCAAGAGAATACACTCTGTTTTTTTGATTGGTCACAAAAGTGAGAAATAAAAATTTTAAATGCTAGGATAAGAATTAAAAGCATAACATAATCAGAACAATTTAAGAGTTCATACCAGAAATATGCTTACAGCAACTGACTAGAAAACCAAAGACCCAACAACAGGCATTTGAATTGACATACTTTCTCTAAATAAATCTGTGTAGGTTCAGTTTAGCATAACAGCATAAAAACTTGCATATACAGAATTTATTCCACATATGCAAATTTATTATAAAGCAACTCTAGAAGTAAAACTCTTACATAAGCACTACATAAATTTGACATCATTATATAACATTATAATACACTTTACGTAATCTAAATCACCTGGAACAGCAATAAAAAATTCTATACCATTGAAAGAATTTTCAAAAATGCATTTACTTATTTCTTTGTTTATTTGAAATATGACTTACAGAGAGAGAGGGAGAAGCCTAGAGATCCTCCATGCACTGGTTCACTGTCCAAATGCTTGCAGTTGCCAAAGCATGGCCAGTTCAAAGGGAGCAGCCAGCAGCTTCATGCAGTCTTTCACAGCAGTGCAAGGGGCCAATCATTTGGGCCATGTTCTGATATATTCTTAGTCACATTAACAGGGAGCTGGATCAAAAAAAGGAATCATGTAAGACTTGAACTAATGCTCATATGGGATGCCAGTGCCACAGGCAGTGGCTTAACATGATATGCTTCACTGCCAGTCATTAATCTGTGAACTTTAATCAAAGCTATGGGCTGTCCATAATCAAAATTGCAATAATCATTCAAGTATTAAAAATAAGTGGATGTGAGTGGGCTGATGTGATAGCTCGACTAACTAATCCTCCACTTCCAAGCACCAGCAACCCATGTGGGCACTGGTTTGTGTCTGGCTGCTTCACTTCCTATCCAGCTCTCTGCTTATGACCTGGGAAAACAGTAGAGGATAGCCCAAATCCTTGTGAACTTACATCTATGTGGGAAACCCAGAAGAAGCCTCTGAGTCCTGGATTCAGATTAGCTCAGTTCCAGCCATTGTGGCCGTGTGGGGGGTGAAGCAGAGGATGGAAGATCTTTCCCTCTGCCTCTTCTTCTCTCCGTAATCTGCCTTTCCAACTAAAATAAATGAATATTAAAAGCAATAGGCAGATTATGCTAATTCCATTGAAACTCAGTTCTTAAAAGCAAGGAACATCCAATATTGGAAAGAGAAAAATGTAAAAATATACTGAAAGACACCTGAAAGTCTTGCTACCTGAGTAGTTACAACAGCGTAGAAAAACCTTGAATCCTGTTCATCCATTGCTTAGAACAGTGAAATACATCAGGAAGCAACGTGATGAAGAATCATGTACTCTAAAGTCAGGAGCTGAAATAAAGTTAACAATAGACTGCAAAGAAAGGAGAAAACATACCTAAAAATGAAAGAAGTTAGTGAACTATGCCATCTCTTATAGGTGAGAAACCTGTGTGACTAGTTGTACCAAGAGGCACTGTCTCTTTTTCATGATGTCAGAGAGGAGCAATAGTGAACAGCAAAGGGACAGAGAGATATCCCTGGAACAGCCTGCCTGGGTGCAGCAAACGCATTATCGGTTGAAAGAGAAGGAGCAGAGAAGAGCAATTGTGGTTAGTTTAAAGGAGAGTGGGCAAGCCACAGTATTCACGAAACATTGCTAACAGGACTGACGGCAAGGGACTGGAGAGTTGTATTGCACACTGTGCCTGATGTGTGGATTTTTTGTTCACTCAGCAGACACACCTAGGGCTCCTTGCCTACACTCACACCAGCTCATTGTGTCATGGGCAACTTACTGCAGTGAACACCTAGTGGCATTTAATTGCTCACTCTTTACCCGCATGACTGAAGCAAGGCAACTTTTGACTGCAAACATGCAAAACAGATATGAAAACGGAGAAAACAGACGTAGGCAAGAAGTGAAGCGTTCCTCAGGACTAGGTTGCTTAAACTTACCATGTCCTCTTCTCTCCCAGCTGGCCCTCCAAATATGTTAGTGGGGATAAGTGTAATAGGTTCTTGCCTTCACACAAGAAAATTCAGACATGAGAGAGGAATGGTAAGCAACAGAAATGTTTAATGGAATGGGGAATCTGTCAGAATGATGGGCATCTCTCCAAAAAGAATCAGAGAGAGAACCCTGCAATTCTTAGTGGGAAAATAAGATTACACAGCTTAATGGAGTGTACCTGACAGTCCAGAAAGTCAGTCTGGAAAAGATTTGAAAGCTGAGCATTCCATATGTATCCAAACTGGAGCTTGTAAAGTGAACACAGTATGGTTTTTCTGCTATTTTGTTTTTCTCTAACATTCACACAGGTGAACATTAAAAAAAAAAAAAAACCCTTTAATTCCATAAAAAATTTCCAAAACTCCACATTCACTTTTAGTTTACAATTTTGTCATAGTTAATACAATCATGGATCCTACAGTCTGTCAATATTTCTTTTCTTTCTTTCTTTCTTTCTTTCTTTCTTTCTTTCTTTCTTTCTTTCTTTCTTTCTTTCTTTCTTTTTCTTTCTTGTCAAGATTTATATACTTTATTGAAAAATCAGATTTATACAGAGGAGAGACAGAGAAAAAGATCTTCCATCCACTGGTTCACTCCCCAAATGGCTGCAAATTCCAGAGCTGAGTTGATTTGAATCCAGGAGCAAGGGGCAAGGAGCAAGGAGCTTCTTTCAGGTTTCCCATATGGAATAGGATCCCAAGGCTTTGGGCAGTTCTCTACTTCTTTCCCAGGCCATAAGCAGGAAGCTAGATAGGAAGTGGAGCAGTGGGGACACGAATCAAGGACCACATGGGATCCTGGCATGTGCAGGGCATGAATTTAGCCATTGGGCCATGCTTCCAGGTCCATCAACATTTTCAAAGCACAATCAAACCTTCCTTTGACTTGATGATGCTACCACTTAGTGAACGGACAGGCAGTATTTATTAGTCTCTCATAAAATGAGGAGTCTGAGTGCAAAAATCTAAAGTATTTTCCATAAGTTCAGTCACTTTTAACCTCTACACTTTTTTTACACTTCTTGCTTTTTTTTTTTGAATTAGCATTTATTTTACTTTTAAAAAGATTTGTTTATTTTTATTTGAAAGGCAGAGTTGCTCAGTGAGAAGGGGAAATAGAGAAATATAGAGAGAAGGTCTTCCATTGGCTGGTTCACTTCCTAAATGTCCACAATGGCCAGAACTGAACCAGTACAAAGACAGGATCCAGGAGCTTCTACTGGTACAGGGACACAAGGACATGAACCATTTACTGCTTTTGTAGTTCATATGCAGGGAACTGAATCAGAAGTGGAGTGCTTTGTACTTGAATGATGCCAATGTGAGATATTGACAATTCAGGCGTTTTTTAACCTACAGCACCACAATGCTGACCTCTCAATGATTAACATTTAAAAGACAGGAATAACGATACAAAATCTATCCAGTGTTTTCTGTACTTGTGCACTGACCTTTGAAAGTATGGTGATATTTTGTGATCTTAGAGTCCTTCTCTGAAATAATACATAAGCAGAATAAATACTTTCAATATTACTTAGGTATTATTTTGAACCAGATGTTTTATCCTTCCAAAACAAGAAGAAAAATTAACTGGCATCTAGTGGCTCTTTGCCTTCTCTTTATTGTTAAAGACTTGGCTTAAAATAAATGCAAATTTTCAACTGCAGATAGGTCACCATTATTTTAGTTTTTTTGAGTGAAAACCGTAGGACAAGTAAATAAGATGTACAAGTGCATAAACTTATTATGACGGAATTCTTTATTAAACAGCTTTGTTAAATTCCCAAACTCTTGCTGCTTCCACCACCTCTATGACTCTCATCCCAGCTGAACTATTGTGTTAGAGTCATTCATTTCTTTTCAGTTTCTACATTTGTGGACTCCTTGTTAAGACTCATGGAGTTCTTTATCTATTTATCTACCTATATACATGTGCACGCACACACACACACAAAGCTATAATAAATTTCATGCTGTTTTTACTTTTTTTTCTACTGTCGTGCATGATGATTCTGCAAAATTTTCCCATAAGAATCTATTCTATGATGATAGCATAATTGCCTTGCAGTGGTTTGAACAAATGCATGATTTGGTTGTTTTGCTGTTTATTCATTTGTCCATATATGTAGTGTGTGTGAGTGGAGGAGAGTTCATGTCTGTGTTCCCTGTGATAGTTAAGCAAGCCTTAGTAGAAGGTTGACATGGTTCTGGAATACACCCTAATCCAGTTCTGAAACTTGACTTTGTTCCAGAATGCAAAATTATTTTAAAAGAGTAAAAAACTGGATGTCTCACAATCCAATGGTTCTTGACAAGTCAGCTTTTCCAGAATTAGAGGAATCGGACTGCTATACCGGTCCCTTCAGCAGAGCACGAATTCACCAGTGAGTTCCTGTCTTTCTTTCCTTTTTTCTTCCCTCCAAGCCCCCTTATCACTTGCCTTTGTATCTCTTATTCCCTGGGTCTTGTTTATGAAATAAAAGTACATATGAGTCTATTTTCATTGTTTAACAGTTAATATAGATAATGTGCTTTAGTGTTAAAACGTAATCCTCATTGATGAGCAACACTAATGAATATTATTCAGTTGTTTTAAGCTTTTAAAATGATTTTAGAGCTTTTGTCTTACAGGCAGAAAGTAATGAGTAATTAATTCTAAAGTCATGGGCAAAAGTGTAGCTGTTAATTCACTAGAAATAATTACTGTGGTAATAAGACATTCAGTTAAAATAATAATAATGATGAAAATAATAGAATGGCTTTTAAGAAGCATATTTTAAAAAATATATTTCCTAATTAATACATTGCAGTTATAATTATCTTTAAGTAACTGTCATGAAAACAACAATGCATTTTAATTTAATATTCAATTAAATTGGAGAATAAGTTTTTTAAGGGATTTGCTGACTGGCTGTTTCTGGTGCCTGCCTGTATACATTTATTTAATCACACATTTTACTGAAATAGTATTTAATGACTTCCTGCATGACATAATGAGAATATAAGGGGGATTGGAGCCTAGCTTCTGCCTTCACTGTTCTCCCAGGCTGATGGGTCAGACAAAAGCATGCAAATTATAATTAAACAACAAGGTGACATAAAAAAGAGAAATGTACACCATTCTACATTAATGTCTGTTCTGGGAAATTGAACCAAAGGATGAAACAAAATTCTGGGCAATGAAAAACAAGACAAATTTGAAAAGCAGTTATAGAGAGCTTTGGAGCAAAATAAGTTCAGACCTCATAATGGAGAGAGGCTGAGACACCAGACGCAGAGGAATGCTCAAAATATCCGAATTGTGCTGTGCAAGTCATGTGGAATGCAGGCCAGCAAGTTAGCAGGACACTGTTATCATCTGTGTTTCAGAAGATGAGACCCATGTGCTTGCTTCAGCAGCACATATACTAGAGGAGATGAGACCCAGAATAAAGTCAGTAGATGCTAAGGATCATATAATATCTAAGAATTTAGGACCAAACATCCTACAAAATGGTTATTTCTTATCACTAAATTAAGACAACTACAATTGTCAGAAGTTCAATGAGGATAGAATACGTGTGTATATGTGCGTGGGGGTTTGTGTGTGTGTGCTTCCCACAATATAAAGCACTTAAGTAAGCCTTACTTTCCATTCCTTTCGGAATAACCATTTTCCTCTATGACATAGTCTCTCACACAGCCATTTGCTATCCTTCCCACATGGAGATTGAGTGTGTCAGGGGAAAGGGAAGACTGTTGCTCATTTCTGAAGCTGTGAAAATAAGATAAACTGCACTGGAATGTGTGGTATGGGGATGACATCAATTTTTAATGCACTCTATTTGGAACTACATTGCTTAAGGTCGTACAAAATTTATAGAAGCCAATGCACAATGCATTCTCTCCTGCTTTATGCCAAAGAAGAAATATGAAGACACTTAGATAATCTGAAAGAAGATATTAAAATGAATATTTGATAACTCTTTGTATTATTTATGAGTGCATTTCTTTTTCTCCATCAATTGATTTTTGAAAAGACAATTTCCCTTCAGACTACTATATTTCTAATGTATCAGCTTTAACGGAGCAAACAGATGACTCATTAGCCAAAAACTTGTAACTGCTACTGGATTGTGCGCTGTGATTTGAATTTTAAAACTAGTCTCCTTATCTTAACAGCTTCATAATAAACAATAAGGATACCTTCTTCAGCAATGCTACTCGAAGCAGGATAGTCTATCATATGTTGGAACGCACCAAATATGAAAATGGGATATCAAAAGTGGGTAAGAACATTAATTAAGAACATAAATACAGTAGAATGCACTGATAAAAATTATACTATGAATTGCTATTTATTTTAAACTGATGCTTTGCCTTCTTAAATCCTTACAGCAGAGTGCGGAGGACAAAACTTTGTAATAAACAGTAAACTTTGTGTTTGAGGATGTCAATAACAAAAATGTTTTTGAGAACATTTGGAATATCTATTGTAAAATATGAAAAATACCTTATTATTGTCATTCCTGGAAAGGAAAAAATTTTAGCCATTAGAAACTTGATTGATTTGTAAACTCTTATTTGAATCTCTATTAATTTATATCAAAAGGCGTTACCAAAGAAGTACATTGAAATATGTTTTAAGCTTAAAGAAGAGCATTCATATTCTAGCTTCATTCTGCTTAATAATTTATATATAACTTTGCCATCAAGACAGCTGCCTTAGAAACAAAAATCTTATCAAAAATTAAATTTACTTAGAAATTTCTATCAACTAACAGAAGTATCCAGAATATGAACTAAAAATGTCTGAGAGATAGTCATATGCTTCTGTATTCTTTTAAAATAAAATATTTAAGTATAATGGTATCATGCAACTTGTAGAAAATACAAAAAGCACTGGAGTGTTAAAATTAAACATTACTTGCTTTTCTAAGATCTACTTATTTCTTTGAAAGGATTTAGAGAGAGAGAGAGGTCTTCCATCCACAGGTTTGCTCCCCAGTTGATTTCAATGCCTAGTTGGTACAATCTGAAGCCAGGGATCAGGCATGTTCTCTGGGTCTCGCACATGGCTGTGGATGCCCAAGGACTTGGGCCATCAGCAGCTGCTTTCTCTGGCACATTGGCAGAGGTCTGTATGGGAAGTGGAGCAACCAGGACTTCAAATAGCTCTCATAAGGGATGATGGTGCCAGAGACAGCAGTTTTTCCTAGTATGCCGTAATGCCAGGCATTTTCTACTATTACAAATCTGTACTGAGTGTCTCAAATTTGAAAACAATACCCACAAAATTTAATGGCAGAAAATCACAAACATTCCAGGATGATGAATTTGACGTTTTATAATATAACAGTCTATAATTTTGTATTCAATTATATATACACTATGCTATGCTATAATACAACATTCATAATTAGGACATTGCATAGTATGTATTCATAAAATTACTATGTGCCAACTAAGCACTAAATTGATTTTCCCATAGTAATTAAATAATGTCCCATTTTTAAATGTGCGATAACTGATAACAATGAATACGATGGCAACAAAAATAGTTAATTAGAAAAGTTTCCCAGTGCTTATTTGTCCCGTAACTATATGGGAGGGTCCATTACACTACTTTTTCACTGACAGTAATTTTCAGTTGATGTTTCACACTGCTAATTAGACCTTGGTTCAGGAATAAATAATCAACTTCCAAATAACAGTATCCTTTTGAGATATTTTGGGGGTGAAGAATTTACCTCCTTACTCAGTTAGATGTTGTTGTTTTTTGGGAAAACACGGTCCCTCAATCATGTGATCCCAAATATATACATATCTTTTAAATATTTGTTTTTATTTGAAAGTCAGTTACTAAGAGAGAGACAGAAAGATCTTCCACACACTATTCTCTTGATGAATGGATGCCTAAATGGCCAAAACAGACAAAACTGAGGTTGTTTGAAGACAGGAGTCAGTCACTTCTTCCTATTCTCACCTGTGGGTATAGGGGCCCACTGACTCGTTCCACTCCCCACTGCTTTCTTAGGACATTAACAGAGAGCTGGATCAGAAATGGAGCATCCAGGACACAAACCAGCATGCATGTGGAATATTAGCATTAATAGCCAGACATCACTGCACTGGCCCCAAAATACACACACACATGTGTGTTTATATATATATATATATATATAAACATCTACACCCTGTGTTTCTGTGGCCATAATATGAAAGTATATGTTGACATTGCAAATCTTTCTTTATGCGAAGACACAATTGTGACTACATTCAGTGGCGATGCCTTTGACAACCTTTCATGCTTATTAGTGATATGGCTATGGAAAACAGTTGGAAATTTTCAATTAATTCTTTGTGCCAGGCATATGTAAGTTACTTTAGAGGGAATTCTATATTTAAATTAATTCACTAACTGCCATTTTCTTCTCCTTCTAGGTATCCAAAAACTTATAACCAATGGTTCATACATAGCAGCATTTCCTCCTCATGAGGTAATTTTAAAAATTTTGTGTTATCTTCATTAATACATGAAAATTGTACATATAAGCATAATGAGCAATCTAGATCCTCAAATATTTAGCAGTTCTTTATGTTAAAACATGCAAAACCTTTTTAATTAGTGTTTTGAAGAAAAGCATATAATAATCATTAGCTATATTCACCCTTCTGTGAAAACCATAATTCATTAGCTGTTAACCAACATTTTCCCATTTTTTCTTCCCTACCCTCCCAATTGTTCTCTCTTTGTCTCTTTTCTGTGTGTGTGTGTGTGTGTGTGTGTGTGTGTGTGTGTGTTTTAGAAAGCTTTATTTCATTTATCTGGAAGGCATAGTTACAGAGGAGTAGGAGAGTCAGAGAGAAAAGGGGTGTGGGGAGAGAGCAAGAGCGAGCCAATATTGGTCTCCACTTACTTAACCTATGGGAGGAGCAGTGGGAACATGGTTTCCATGTATCTCTAGAGAATTTAGATCCATCTTGATTTCGGGTATGCCTTAGACCTTTCTCCTGTCTTAACGACCTCTTGAGACCCTTGTGGACCCAAGCCCCCCAAGTCTTCTGGCAATTTGGATATTGTCCTGTAACTTGGTCGCCTCATCTCCCTGCCTATTATGGCCCACACCCATCTGGTGGTTATCTTGTGATAGTCTTCTAATAAACAACTCTGGGATGCAGGTGTGTTACAGTGGTGGACAACACAATGCCACCTGGCAAAGTGCATCAGAGCTGTATTGATCGGCTAGGCTTATAACATGTATTAGGTACTTACATGCAACAGAAATATTGTTACTACCCTGAGGCTTATGTTCCTTGGATTGCCCTATATAAGCTTGTAGTTTCTAATAAACAAACAAGTTCACCATTAACTAACTCCGGGGCTTCTTTATTGAGAATGCCATTGACATACCACAGTATCTGGGTTGGTGGTCTGCAGCTGAGATCTCCTACAAGAGACAATCATCTGTTGGCTCACATGGGTGTAATGTCTAGGGCTTGGAGAGACAGGTGTCATTCCAGTTTTCCCATGTGGGTAGTGGGGCCCAAGCACTAAGCCCTTGTCTTTGTTGCTATCTCACATACATTAGCAGAGAGATGAATCAGTTGTAGCAGCCTGAACTAGGAGCAGTGCCCATATGGAAAGCCAATACCACAAGCCATTGCTTTTATCCTCTATGCCAGAAAGCTGGCCCCATGCCATTATATTCTTATATAGAATAAACTTTTTTGAACTGTGTGTATGAGTTCAATATCTGTCTGTCCGTGAGATAATGTAACAGTTACCTTGGATTATTTTACTTTACATAATGATGTTCTACTACATTTATGTTGAAAAAGACAAGATTTTCCATTTTTGTGTCTGATTGCTATTCTGTTGTATATTTGCACTGTATTTTCTTTATTCATAATTTGTAGTAGAGTTTTAATTTTAAAATTCCTTGTGCTCGATGCTTGCTCCTATTGTTTTTCATTTAGTTTTGTCTGCCTTTTATTTCTGAGACTCATTATCATGTGAGCATACCCACATTTTTCTGCTTCAAAACCTTTCTGTAAGTTGCTGCACTTCAAGAATCCTAGCCTCTATGATCCATCTTGAGAGTCACACCGCCCCAAAAAAGGCACCCTACTGGTCATTGCCTAACACTTTGGAATCCTGGAAAACCTAGAATTAGCCATCCATAAACATTTACAGTACATGGCATACTTGGGTCTATGCCAGAGTGTTACTCCCCTGCCTATTTTAAATACAAATGTTTACTTCATGCTATAGAGGAATTTGCCCACCATGACTACAGTCCAGTCATTTTCAATGTTTTCTCTTTGCTCACTTAAAGACTTTTTTTTCTTCCTTTGAAATAAGTCCACACTTTAAAATAAGAAAGGCTTCTTCAAATTTTTCATTTCTGAACTTAAGAAAAACTATTTTTGTAATATAGTTAAGATGGAGGACACTCGGGAAATAATACTCAAAATTGCAATCTTGCAAAATTAATAACACATTGAAAGTACTGACCACTTCTATTTTGCAGTGAACTAAATATTTTAAGGGATTATCTCAATCAACCCTTGCAACAACCCTTTGAAATACAGCATGGTATGAAGCCCGTTTTATATATAAGTGATTGGAGTATAGAATGTTAAATATCAAGTCATGGAGTTTAACCAAAGAGGGGATTCTCAAAACTCATTTTCCATAATAGTGTGCTTGCTAACAATAGAACTAATAATAATAATAATAACAAGACATATATTTCTGTGTTTCATTCACAAGGCCATATATTTCCTTGTTAATCTAACAAATTTATGTGGTGAATATTAGTAACCTCAGATTAGAAGTAAAGGGACAAAGGCCAGAGAAATTAAATACCACCTTAGATGCTACCTCGAATGGTAAAGTGTACAGAGTAGTCAACTAAAAGGCCCCTGGAGGGAGCTTCTGTAACAAGAGAAAGGTTGATTTCTCCTCTGTGGAAGCAATTTTCTCTATACAATTAGGCTGTAGTCTGGCTGCTTTGTATGAAATTTGGTACATATTATTAACAGATTATAAATAATGACCATCTCCTATTTATGTAGTATACATAAATTAAATAGTAATATATGTTGACCATAACATAAAGTATAAAAGTCAATGGCACTGAAAATAGACAAGAAATTGACAATGGGAAAATTTTCTGACATGAAAAGTAAAAAAAGAAACTTAAATAAAATGTATTCATTTATATATAGATATCCACATACATAGAAAGTTGAATTAATAAACATATATGTAATTTATATATTATATATGTATATATAATTGGGGTGAATGTTGTGGTTTTGTACACCAAACTAAACTTACATTGTAGTTTCACAAGCATTTTGCAATATCCAAGTGCATGTGTATATGTGTATGAACCAACTTGCTTAGGGCATTGTGAGAGTTAGTTAGTGTGCAAGTTTTTACTTGTGAATACAGAGTCAAAGCATGTTCATTGGAGAAGAGGGACATTGGAATTGTTGAAATCACCAATTGCATGTGATTTTTCAAAAAATGCAGGAATGAGAAGAGCAATCACTTTGGTTAACTTCCTGTTGTAGCCCACCTTTTACCACTGTTCAAGTGGACCAAACTGATTGATGTTGTTGAGAAGACTTAGAACAGGTATACCTGTTGCTGTAAAGCTTAGCATTTAACACACAATAAACAGGGCAGGTGTTTAGCCTGGTGCTTAAAATAAGGGGTAAGAGTTATATACCCCATATAAGAGTACCCAGGCTCAATTCCTTTCATAATTTTGATTCTAATTTCCTGCTAAAGCAAACCTTAGGAGGAAGTAGTGATGACTTGAGCAATTAGGGTCCTGCCACCTGCATACCTGCATAGGAGACTTAGATGGCGTTCATAGCTATCATCTTGGTTCTTCTTGAGCCAGTTCTGGGCATTTCTGGAGTGAAGTAATGGTTAAGGTCTCTTTTTCTGTCTCTGTCTGCCTCTCACACACAAAAAAATCAATCAAACAAACATTTTCTATATTCTGATAACTAAGGATGAGAAGCAAAGTCACATAATTTAAAAGAAAGATCATAAATAATCGAAGGGGAAAGCTGATATTTTGCTTCCCTTTGTCTGACATAGTCTCAGGAAAATCTACTTTAACAGGTCACTCCATTTTCACAGACAAACGAAGCATTCCCAAGTGGCTGTCTTCATGCTTAGAATCTAGATCATTGCTTCTGTATCCAAAAAGGCTTTAAATACGTTGGCCCACCTTAGGGAAGACAGCTCTGGGACTGCACTTGATCTGTCTTCCTTTCCTGGCTGTTTTGTTAAAGAGCCTGAGAAGACATGAACATGTGTCTTTCATTGCAACTTTGTAACACCTGCTAGCCATAATATGAAGTGTCCTCCTTTTTATAGAAAGTCACAGCCCTTGATTTCTGGGACATTCAGGTGATAGTTTTGATGCTCCTGAGTATCCATAACACATGAAGCAAAAAAAAAAAAGGCAAAAACTTAGTCATTTGTGCTGGACCTTTTATGGAGATGGTCATTGTAAAACCTTATATGATGAATCATTGATATTATTTTTATCTACAGATCTATATGAATAAACTGAGGTATACTGTGAATACTTTTAGATTTTTTATCAAATATGTCCTAAATACACAATCATATTATTAGAGTGAGGAGAGAGATTTTGTCACACTTTCATGTCTCAGGATTTGGGTCCAAAATTAAGCCATCATATCTGTTTTCCCTTTTCTTGACTGCAGTTGCAAGATAGGTTCAGCTTCACAGAACACGCAGTTCTGTAAGACGTATTTTATAATCTGTGGTTCTAAAATTACAACACATGTTATAGATTTCTGAGAGAGTATAAAGAATTTTATGGGTGCTTATTTTTTACAAAGTCATATCAGAAAATAACTTCATGGAGCCTAGTCTTTAAAACGTAATAGACAAGGGTAGTTGAGGGCTCTCAAATTTTCTGTGTGTACTTAATAATGTCTTAAGCATTTATAAATGGAAAAAATGCTTTCCTGGGGTTCAGACACTTTAAAACAGAATATTATTCTCAATTTATAAATTAAAGACTGAAATAGTTTCTATGATGGTGAAGACGCTGTGCTCATTAAAACACCTTCTGTTTCAAAAGTGAAACCCAAAATCTAGTTTACTTTTAAGTGAAATATGTTCTATCACTTTCTTTAAAAATATGTGAGAGTCTTTCAAAGTAATGAACTGAATATTTCCAATAAAAAAGGATATAGAGATGGATCTGGCACTTTATTCCATTGATAAGTTCCTTTGCACTTCCTGAATCTCTCCATATTAGTTAACATATTCTTTAATTTAAAAATCTTATTAAAGTTTCTCTAAAGTAATAAATATGTATTAATCATATTTTGTCTGTTTTAGGGAGCTTACAAGAGCAACCTTCCCATCAAAACCCATGGTCCTCAAAATAACAGACATCTGTTATATGAACGCTGGGCCCGCTGGGGAATGTGGTACAAATACCAACCTCTTGATCTAATCAGGTACTGCAATAAATATATTAGGGAAAGAAAACTGTCCTGTCTCCTTTTCTTTTAATTTTATTACACCAGATCATCTTGTTAATAATTTGAAAATGAAATAATAGGACTTCAAGTAAGAAGAACTGAATGTCTGGAATTTTTACGTGTAGTATGGGAAAATAGAGAAATCAAACTGCAAGACAACCAAAGCTTAGCAATAGCAGAAAATTACCAACACCATTATTGGTGATGAGAAAACTGGGTGAAATGTATGATTAGAGCCCAAACCTGGACCCCTGATGTAGTGGCTATGCCTTGCTATCTACTCAGATGTGAAAGTGGGGAGGCACACCACGGAGGTGGCATATTCATGTAGAGACAGCTCTGAATACCTTTAAGACAGAGAGGAAAACCTGGCTTATCCCATCCTTCCATCCTTTAGTCTTCTGGTACCTTCTGGCTCAATTTAACCAGAGATAATTTAGAAGGAAATCTGATTACTCACCACTCTGTGAAAAATAAAAACAAACTAAGTGAAAATGAATCTGCGGACTAAGAGGAAAATAACTAGCACAGCATTGATATATGTATTTATCTTTCAAGAAAATATACTATACGCTGTACACTAAGAAGAATATTCTGATTAATAGCTACCTTCAATTTAAATTTCTCCTGAAGTATTAGTCACATGTATAATTTATATAATTTTCCCTGGCTGAAGATAATCTTTTGTTTTCCTTTTTGAAATAATGAAAAATATACTAACATGAACTTAACTCTCTAACTACAAGTATTCGTAGAATGAGACAAAAAGAAGCACTCATATTGCTAGGTTTATGTATTGAGATTTTGAACTGCTTGTTAAGTAAACATATCAAGAATTACTCAACTTACTGGTGCTTCAGAAAAAAAAAAACTAAGAAAATTAAATAACAGAATATTATGCAGATGTTTAGAAAGGGTTCGTGGAAGCCAAGAAAAGATGATGACGCTTCAAAGGACTAGTCTCAGCTTGCAGCTGGTGAAGACACAGACATACAGTCAGGGACAGAAGGAAGCAACTGGCAAAACCTGTATGAAGCCATAACAATGATCATAAGCCTATGACCTCAAGAAGAAAACAGGTGCAGCCAGACAACAGCCAAAAAAGACAAAGCCATGATAACAAATATCTCAGTGACTCCTGTGCCTTGCTGCATGATCTGTAGCACCTTTTGTAGGCCAACAAATAAACAGGGATAAGCCCGTAAGTGATGAGGAAGTCAGGAAAAGAATGAACCCCAGGTGTTAACAGTCCACAGGCACAAATGCCCAAAGAAAAAGCAGACAGGAAGGTGGATTTGGAGGCTAAAAGCATAAACATGCTGCATTAAAATCTCATAAATCCCAACCTTAGATACTTAGATAGAACCTAAATAAAGATAGTTTGGTTTTAATTCTGTCAGTTGTGACAGATTCCCAGATTTTATTTTGCACAAAATAAGCATTAAAGATATGTGAATACAGGAAGAGTTACTTGTTTACAAATACATTTTTATAAGCAGCTAAAATTAAGTTAAACATTTTGAGCACAGTACTTCAAAAAGTTCATGGACAGTGGAATTGAAAGATAATTTTAAACACTTTAAACATTTTTAATTTTTATTTTTGATGACATTTACATAGTTGGCCAGTGTAGGAAGGATTGAGGGTTAGGGAAAAGTGGGTATGTGATCATTATTTCCAAATTTTCTATTTCTTCTTCCTGTATCTGGGGGTTGGAGGACAATAAGGGGAGGAGTGATACCTAGCCGTCCAACAGCCCCAGTACGCAGTGATGAGAAGTGGCTGCCCAATATCAACCTGAGGTCCCCAATGTGGTGCATGTCCTAGGGCTCTTGAAATGTTGTCAATCTCCCCAATTCAGGGATGAGGAACCGCATCAAGTGTTGGTTGGTTGACAGAGTTGAACTTAGAGTGTCTATTCACCCAGACATTTGCTGTTTGGCTGGGTAGTTGTCCAATTTGTTCTATCCTCCTTCCTCTTCAATGGTATTGGATGTCCTCTGCTGGCTCCATTGGACTGCCATTTCTGATGGGCCAGCCATCTACTACTCTGTCTTTTCCAATGAGGAAGTGCAAGAATGGAGACCAGGTGACCCAGGCCCTGCCTAACCCCCCACCTCTGGGATTTACAGAGCTGTGAAAGATAATCTAGTGGGAATATTCAAAAATTCATGCCTTTTAATATTGTATAATAAAAGTGTTGTCGACGATTTTTTTGCCATTTATAATGCCATATTTTCTTTCCTCCTCTTGCACAAATTTGTTACAATTAATCTGAGCATATAAGCTAAAAGAGTTGATCTCACGGAAGTAGGGAGCATCTCACAGAAGTAGAATTCCCATATGGGAATCACGAACTGGGATTGGGAGGAGGCAAGCAGAAAAGTTTAGAAGAGTCTAAGGACACATTATTTCAGTTAGGAGGAGCACATTCAGATGATCTATTGTATAATGCTTTGTTAATAACAATTGTTGATAATAATGTGCTAAGGCTTCTTGTTACAAAAATAAGTATTGAAGCAATGCATATGTTAATGAGCTCAAGAAAGACATCTTGCAGCACATGTGTGTGTGTGTGTGTATATATATATATATATATATATATATATATATATAACTCAAAGCATCAAGTTGTTCAAGATAAATGCATAAATATCTGTGTGGCCAGCTTTTTTTAAGTAAAAAATGTTCTTGTCTAGAAGAAGCTACTATTGTCCTTTGAGTAATTCAGGAAGGCATTTTTCATCTTCAATAAATAGAACTGTTTGGCTATCATTACAAATTCTTGGCTGCTGACATAAAAAGGAAGTTTCTTCTGTAATAATCATTAATTATGCATTTAAGCAACTAAAGAAGAACGCATGTCTTGAAGAACAGATTCACACTGTAATTTGTAAGAATAGACATGGTAGAGTTGAGCTGGTGATGAAGAAAACATGTATATCAATCTAGGCAATACTGTGCACAGAGTTTGTTTTAAGATTTATTTATTTTGATTGCAAGTCAGATATACAGAGAGGAGGAGAGACAGAGAGGAAGATCTTCTGTCCCATGATTCACTCCCCAAGTTACCCTAATGGCCAGAGCTGTGCCAATCCAAAGCCAGGAATCAGGAACTTCCTCCAGGTCTCCCATGTGGGTGTAGGGTCCCAAGGCATTGGGCCATCCTTGACTGCTTTCCCAGACTACAAGCAGGGAGCTGGATGGGAAGTGGAGCTACCAGGATTAGAACCGGCGATCATATGGGATCCTGGGTGCGTTGAAGGCAAGGACTTTAGCTGCTAAGCTACCATGCTGGGCCATGTGCATAGAATTTTTATAAAGTCCCTTTTCATTAAACCAGAAAGAGGTTATTTTAAAAGTTATCACTTTACAGTTATTTCAAGTGATTTTTTTTCTGAAAGCCAATCAAATGTTTATGATTTAGATTTTGTATTGTGTTGTTTCCTAACTGTAGTAGGAGAAATTGGGTGGATTTTTTATATGCTTTGGTCATTGGAAAGCTTGTCTTTTCATGCTACATAAAAGCGGTTCCTTAGTAGTGATGAAAAGGATTTGTTTTTGTGTTCATAAACAATAACTTCTGGAAGGTGTTTAGTGTATGTGTTTACCATTTTAGGAATTTAAACATTTAGCAGTTAAAGTCTATATTTTGGGTGCTGCACGATGGCTTAGTTGTTGAAATGCTTGCCTTAGACATGCCAGGATCACCCATGGGGGCTGGTTCATGTCCCAGATGCTGCACCTCCCTTCCAGCTCCTTGCTTGTAGCCTGGAAAGCAGTAAAGAACAGCCCAAGGCCTTAGGTCTCTACACTCACGCGGGAGACACAGAAGAGGCTTTGCATTGGCTAAGATCAGACCTGGCCATTATGTCCACTTGGGGGGTGAACCAGTGGATGGAAAATCTGTAAATCTCCTTCTCTCTGTAAATCTGACTTTAAAATTAATATATAAATCACTTTTTAAAAAATCATATTTTTGAGCCCACCACAATAGTACAGTGGTTAAAGTCCTTGCCTTGAACACTCCAGAATCTCATACAGGCACAGGTTCTAATCCTTGCGGCCCTGCTTCCCATCCAGCTCCCTACTTGTGGCCTGGGAAAGCAGTCAAGGACGGTCTGAATCCTTGGGACCCTGCACCCAAGTGGGTGGTCTGGAGGAAGCTTGACACTCCTGACTTTGCATTGGCACAGCTCTGGCCATTGCGGTCACATGGAGAGTGAACCATGGGACAGAAGATCTTCCTCTCTGTCTTTCCTCCTCTCTGTATATCTGACTTGCAATAAAAATAAATAAATTTTTTAAAAAATCATATTTTCTGGCCTGGTGCAGTGGCCTAGCGGCTAAAGTCCTCGCCTTGAACACACTGGGATCCCATATAGGTGCCTGTTCGTATCCTGGTGGCCTTGCTTCCCATCCAGCTCCCTGCTTGTGACCTGGGAAAGCAGTCCAGAATGGCCCAAAGCCTTGGGACCCTACACCCACATGGGAGACCTGGAGAAAGTTCCTGGCTCCTGGCTTTGGATCAGCACAGCTTCAGCTGTTGCGGTTACTTAGGAAGTGAATCGTGGGACAGATCTTCCTCTCTGTCTCGCCTCTTCTCTGTATATCTGGCTTTGCAATAAAAATAAATCTTTTTGAAAATCATATTTTTTATGGAAAACACTTGAAACTAGATGGAGCATATTTTTAAAATTATCAACTGCAAAATCTGCTCCAAAACAGTTAAGTGGCATAAGAGACAGTTTATCGGGCCCGGCGCGGTGGCGCAAGTGGTTAAGTCCTCGCCTTGCACGCCCGGGATCCCATATGGGCGCCGGTTCTAATCCCGGCAGCCCCGCTTCCCTTCCAGCTCCCTGCCTGTGGCCTGGGAAGGCAGTTGAGGACGGCCCAAAGCTTTGGGACCCTGCACCCGCGTGGGAGACCCGGAAGAGGCTCCTGGCTTCGGATCGGCATAGTATCGACCCGTTGCGGCTCACTTGGGGAGTGAATCATCGGATGGAAGATCTTCCTCTCTGTATCTCCTCTCTGTATATCCGCCTTTCCAATAAAAAAATAATAAAAATAAATCTTTAAAAAAAAAAAAAAAAAAGAGACAGTTTATCAGATATATCAGAGAGCTTGGTATGTTAAAATCACATCACTAAATGAAATAGTTCTCTTTCAGACAACAAATATCAGCAGCTATTTATTTTGTGATAGAAATTGCTGCAGCCGAATTGTATTGTTAAGTTGAATAGTTCACAGGACACCATTATGTAATTTAGTTGAACTTTAATGGGGAATTGTAGTTAAAGCCACTCCCTTCTTTCTTATGCTGCCATGGTTTTGATATACTCCTAAGGCCACTTAGAAACCATAGAAGATTGTGAGCATCAGTACTCTAGAGTTTCAAGGTAATTGTTACCTGTCTTCTCTGAAGTTAGCCTCCTATTCTCATTATATATAGCTATAGCAGCATTTGAATACACCCTAGGCTAATAATAATATTGCTTATATTAATCTTTAAGAAGGTGTAGTTTATAATCTCCATGTCAAATCGTGAATCTAAGCAGGTCTAATTGTGAGATATTCCATGTTAATAGCATGTACAAAAGCTCTACTACACATCTGTATAATTGGCATAATACAAAGGACGAATTAGATGTACAGTGGTTTTTTAAAAATAGTCTTACGGAAAACCACCGCAAGAATTTTCTTTCCAAAAAGAATCACTGCTTGTTATAGTGTTCCCAAGTAAATCATGGAGCCTTGACCTTTAAAACTAAAGGTGGTGGGACCTGGTGCGGTGGCTCAGTGGTTAAGGGCCTCACCTTGCACGCCCAGGATCCCATATGGGCGCTGGTTCTAATCCCCGCAGCCCCGCTTCCCTTCCAGCTCCCTGCCTGTGGCCCAGGAACACAGTTGAGGACAGCCCAAAGCTTTGGGAACCTGCACCCGCATGGGAGACCCGGAAGAGGCTCCTGGCTTCTGATAGGCATAGCATCAGCCGTTGCGCTCACTTGGGGAGTGAATCATCGGACGGAAGATCTTCCTCTCTGTCTCTCCTCTCTGTATATCTGCCTTTCCATAAAAATAAAAATAAATCTTTAAAAAAAATTTAAAAAAAATAAAACTAATGGTGGAACATGGCTAAGGCAGTGTGAAACAAACAGCAGGGGTTTAACTACAACTGGAGTGGAAGTCAGAAAGGGTTTTCCAGATGAGGCAATATAAAGGAAAAGTGCAAGTACAGTTCACATAATGAAAAGTGTATTTTTAAAAGCATTTCAAAGTGAGGGAACAGTATTAAGAGGTGAAGTTATTATGTGTTGAAAAAACTGCAGATTTGGGTTTGATGAGAAAGTTATGGCATCATGGTGTTGATTGGTTGTCTAGCATGGTGGTGTCTGGGCCTGGTCCAGATAGAGACTGAACTCCAACCTGCTCTCGGCATCTGCTTGTGGGGGAATCTTTCCTAATGAGAAAATGCAGTACGATTTAGTACATATGATGTAGAGAATGAAAAAAGATGCCACTAGGGGGAAAGATAAAGACAAGCATTCACTTGTAGTAAACTTTGTAAACCTTATTAAGAAGTTTGGCACAGAAACAAATTAATTTTTCAGAATTGCTCCTATAATAATGACATCTAAAAATATAGTCACTATAGTTAGCTTCATTATCAAGTATGAATGTTGGTTACTCCAGATAGATCTGAAGACTATGGCATAGGTGGTCTCAAATTTCAATGTAGCATTCTGCACAGTGTATATAGTCACTGTTATAACATTTGCCTGCTGCCTTATCTCAAATTAGGGATTTGCTTTCTCGTGCAGGCTATACTTTGGCGAAAAGATTGGTCTATACTTTGCTTGGCTTGGATGGTACACTGGAATGCTCTTCCCTGCAGCAGTTGTAGGCTTATGTGTTTTCTTCTACGGATTAATTACAATGAATGAAAGTCAAGTAAGGTAAGTCATTGAGAGACTTATTAATGTCTGTAAGTTTCTTTTTAAAATGTTTTATTTATTTATTTATTTATTTATTTATTTGAAAGAATTATAGACACACATATATACATACAAACACAAAGAGAGAATGAGACAGAGAAAGTTAATAGAGAGAGAGAGAGATTTTTCACGCAGTAGCTATCTCCAGCAATGGCCAAAAGGCTAGGGCTGCGTCAGCCCAACTCCAGGAGCCAGGAGCTTCCTACATGTCTCCCACAAAAATACAAAGGGCAAAACATGTGTGTCATCTTCTGCTGTTTTCCCCATGCCATCAGGAGAGACCTGGATTAGAAATGGGGCAGCTGGAACACAAATTGTCTCACAAATTAGATGTTAGCATTACAGATTGTAGCTTTGCTTGGCTATACCAAGATGCCATTCCCTTGAGCTGTCTTCTTAATGTACAACAGCTTGATAATATTTTTTACTGTTAAAAAAATTATATAATTCATTTTTTGCTTTTCTTCTTTACTAGTAGGAAAGTTCCACAAAGTGATTTGTTATTATTATTATGCACTAATTCACTAAGATAAATTCCAAGATTTCTTATCTTTATGTCAGATTTATCTTTCCAACATATTCTACCTAATAATCCAGAAATGGTACAGAAATGAGAATTAGCAAATCTGATTATCATTAGAATTATTATTCTTCCATTGAAATGAATCAAGATGTGGAACTCAGAATAACACATTAATGTTCAACAGGGATAAGAGTCACCCTAACATGAAACAATCCTATTAACAGAATGTTCTGTTTAGTGTATCGTTGAGCTCAACTTTTAATGAGCAAATTGACAGTATCATCTCTTCAAACATCAGAACTTCATCTTTTTCTAGAAAAAGAAAAATCGAGTTATTTATTTGAAATTCAAGAGTTATGGTGGAAAAGGGAATGCGAGAGTTCTTTTTATCTGTTGGTCCACTATGCAGATGGCCACAATAGCCAGGGAAGAGTCAGAGTCCAGAAGCCAGAGCTCCAGCTGATACTGCCGTAGGAAATGTCCCAGGCTCCCGGGCCACACACATTCTGCTGCCCTTCCAAAGTCAGCAGAGAGCCAGCACAGGTCTTGCACAACAGAGCCACTGCAGCCTGTTGTGCTAGTCTTTGGTGGAAACTGGTTGGGTGGGTTCTAGATCTGCAACATAACCAATTTGACAGGCCTGATTATATGTGCCAACACATTTCGTTTTGATTCTGTCTCACGTCCTAGAGAAGACAAAGAGAGCACCTCCAACAGTTGTCAGGCTTTTTATGAGCCTGGAAAGGAATGTGATTACTTGCACTACACCCAGGCCCCAGATGAGGGCAACTACCCTATGGGGAAGTAGTAGGTTGATTGGCAAGTAGGAGGATAGTATTACATAGGCTGGGGGAGGTGTTGTCATGGCAAGGGGAACTAGGAGACTTTTGTGTTACTTTATATTAGTACCATTTTATTCACCTCTTTTTTTTGTTTGTTGCAGGATATTAAAGTGTTATAAAAAAGCTGATATGGATCTGTTTTTGTAATTTTGACTAGCTATGTCCAACTAAATGTTGTATTTCTTAATTATTCTGCAGTTGTAGAAGAACAGCACAATCAAGTGTTAGATCACTGCTTGTACTTCTGTGTCTCACAAGCATGCATTACTATGGCATGGATAGCCAAATATATTCAGGTATATGCCAGTAGTAGAATAAATCATGGTAATTTAGAGATAAAGACAAGCCCATGTGGATTTATTTTGTAGGCCCTGGGTCTCAGGACCTGGGCAAAAATGAGTTAAGCTACCCCCTGCAATTATGGCACCTGGAATGAAGGCCAGTAGGAACCCCAACTACTCCACTGTCAATCCAGCTCCCTGTTAGTGTGCCTACGAAAGCAACAGAAGATGGCTGTGTACTTGAGCCCCTGTATTCACATGCAAGCCCTGGGTGAAGCTCCTGGCTGCTGAGTTTGGTCTGGTTCTACCCCAGCCATTGCAGCCATTTGGTAATGAATCATTGGCCAGAAGGCTTTTTCTCTCCCTCTTTTTCTGAAACTCTAACTTTCAAATTCATAAAATAAATCTTTAAAAAAAAAAAAAGAGGGCCCAGTGCTGTGGTCTAGCAGCTAAAGACAACTTGAGAACACCAGGATCCCACATGGGCACTGCTTCTAATCCCAGCAGCCCCACTTCCCATCCAGCTCCCTGCTTGTGGCCTGGGAAAGCAGTCGGGGATGGCCCAAAGCCTTGGTACCTTGCACCTGTGTGGGAGACCCAGAAGAAGCTCCAGGTTTCTGGCTTTGGATCAGCTCAGCTCCAGCTGTTGTGGCCACTTGGGGAGCAAAACCAGCAGTGTCTCCTCTGTAGATCTGACTTTCCAATAAAAATAAATAAATCTTTAAAAAAAAAAAAAAAGCAATCTTGTCTCTCACATAGGTGGCAGGAACCCATTTCCTGGAGTTCTCAATGCTGTACCTCATATCTGCTTGGCAAGAAGCTGGAGTCAGGACCTCAGCTGAAAGTCAAATCCCCAAGCAGGACGTGCATCTCTTCACCATGAGTCTAAATGCCCATCAGCTAGTTTTAATTTTTTGAGAAGACTCCATATTATGTTTCAAGATAGTACATGAGTTTAGATTTCCACTATTAATGTATAAAGTTCCCATTTTCTCCACGGCCTCCCCCAACACTCATTTGGATAATACGATAGGAATCTTGACTAGTATGAGGTGGTATCAGATTGTGAGTTGCATTTCTCTAATAATTAAATCTTATTCTAAAACCAATACTGTGTCCACACTACCAAGCTTTTTTTCCTGTAAGCCCATTTAGAATTTCTTCCTAAAAATGTTTTTTTTTTCCCACTTGGTATTTCCTGGCCTGCGTTTTGCTGTGTTAACCACATGACAGGAGTCACCAATATCCTATAAGGAGTAAATCCATATACCTATGGTCAATTGGACGGTTAATTTCTTTGTAATCAACCTTGGACACATAAGTATGAAATTTAAGGTAAAAAAAAAACAGCAACAACAACAAAAAAATAAGTGTCAATTTATTATTATCTGCAGAAAATAAGTACTGCTGAAAGTCACTCTCCTTCCCTTTAGTGGTTAAATGAAGTTAAAATAATAGTGACACCAAAACCCCTTACTGTAGACAGAGCTGTTTTCAAAAAGTGTTTAATGTTTTTGAAAGTTAAATATCATGAAAAAATACACAGAAAATTAATTTAATGATTCTGGAAGTACAAAATATACGCAGCCTAGTAGATGAACGTTTAGACATGATTCTTTGAGCAATCTGGCATTTTGTTTGACCATTCTGATCCTAGGAAAGATTTTGTAGATTTTTCATAGAATATTCCAATGCAGGACAAATTGTGTAATTTGCAAAAAAACTGCTCATTTAGGTAGCAAATTAATTATAATAACAATATCTCATGAGACTGTTCTTACTTTTTAAAAAAAATATTTAATCAGAATTACTTAGAGAGAAAGAGACTGAGTCATAGAAGGGGTTAGACAAAGAACAATATTGTATCTACTGGTTTACTCCGTGAGATAGCTACAATAGCAAGCACTAGGCCAGGCTGAAGTCAGGAATCGGGAACCAGAAGCTTCCTCTGTGTCTCCCACATGGATGACAGTGGCCTAAGTACCAATTTCTATTGTTTCTTCAGGCTATTAGCAGAGAGCTGGATCTGAAGTGGGCAACTAGGATTTGAAACAGAGCCCTTATGGGATGCACCAGTGTTGCAGGCGATGGCATTACCTGCTATGCCATAATCCTGGCCCTACACCATGTTATTTATTTATTTTCTTTTTTTTTCTACAAATTTGTAGTATTGCTAATAAGGAATATAATATCCTTTTTTCATTTTTAAAATGTGTATTTTACATGTTTCCTCATACTTTTTCTGGGCATCTTGATCTCTAGCAAAATGTTTAGTGTGAAAATGGAAAGAAGTATAGTATAAAAAAACACTGTTCATTAAACTCATAGCACAGGTTTTTTTCCAGACATATTTTCAACATTTCCAGAGTGTATATACATAGGAATGGAGCATGTATGATAAAGACCCAAACATCCTAAAAATAGGATGCTATGAACCCAGAGTCTATAGCTTTTTGCAAACTGTTATTGATATGCTTCCCCTGTCCCAAAGCCATCTATAATACATACTGAGGTTTCCAAAAGCATGCAAGCATAAAACTGATATGATAAATACCATAAAGCTGCATCCTAATGAAACTTATTTTAATTAAATATAAACTATGTCATATCATTGTGACTGTGTCATCCCATAAAAAAAAAGCAACTCTTTCAATATGCAATGAGTTTTCTTCATCAACATTAGGTACTGTAAATGAGGTTACAGTGTAGTTCCTATCCTTACAGAGTCATAATGCTGGCCCCCAAGTCAATGAGGTTGGTTAAAATTTGTTCTGTCTCACAAGATTATCCTGAGTGCATAAAATCCTACATTAAAGGATCTCAGTAAAAGATTTACAATGCCACCCAAGAGTAAAACATGACTTATACCATTTCAGTGTCATAACAGAGTTTTCAAAATCAGAGGTAAACCAAAATTGCACATGTCCGTAGTGTCCTAGTGTCTCACTAGTATTCTAAACCATTTGACTTTGGGCTGTACTATAAAGTTCTTTCTGCGGTGTATATTAGGAGCTATGATTAAATTGCTGCTTGGGCCACCTGTCTCCCCTCTGGGAGTTCCTGGGTATGGGTTCCAAACTCACTCTATATTTAAGTTCCTGGATAATGTACACCTCAGGAGGAAACAGATGACCATTCAAGTTGTTGAGCAGCTTCCATCCATGGGAAAGTTTGAATTGTGTCATTGGCTGCTGGCTTCAGCTTTCACTGTTATAAGCTCATAATGAGTGAAATAGTACAGAGGAAGCACTTCTCCATGCCCCTATATTTTTTAAATGAATAATATAAATAAATAAAAACTATTACAATTTTTCTTACCATTATGCCCAGTATTTCCAATTCTTCTTCCCTGTGCATTGTTGCTTATCTGCAGGGGCTAAGTATATTCTAGACATAAAGGTTCATGCTTTCTTCTTTTTTTCCATTTGATTATTGAAGCCAAGAAATTTGTAAAGCCTCAGAGGTCTTCATGTGCCCTCTGTGTGACAAGAACTGCTCACTTCAGAGACTCAACGACAGCTGCATCTATGCCAAGGTGAGTGCAGGCCCCGTGTCTTCCTGTCACACCTTACTTTTTATTATTATTATTATTATTTTTTTTTATTGGAAAGGATATACAGAGAGGAGAGACAGAGAGGAAGATCTTCCGTCCGATGACTCACTCCCCAAGTGAGCGCAAGGGCCGATACTATGCCGGTCCAAAGCCAGGAGCCTCTTCTGGGTATCCCACGCGGGTGCAGGGTCCCAAAGCTTTGGGCCGTCCTCGACTGCTTTCCAGGGCCACAAGCAGGGAGCTGGAAGGGAAGCGGGGCTGCGGGAATAGAACTGGCGCCCATATGGGATCCTGGGCGTGCAAGGCGAGTACCTTAACCACTTGTGCCACCGCGCCGGGCCTCACATGGCCTTACTTTTTAAGGGTCAGCAGGATATTCTCCAGTTAATAGCTTTGTACCCAAACTAACTGTTCCTAAGAGTTGAAACAAGCATTAACACCACTGACAATCAAATAAAATATCACTTATTTGCAATTACGTAGTATTTTTTTTTATTTTACATCTGTGCTTATGTCACTTTATAATCACTACAGACATAATGAAACAGTATACCCCAAGTTCCCAAATTGCTGCCATTTAGAAACTGCTAAAGACCAGGCTACGCCTCAAAGCAATTAAAACAGAATGTTTGGTTTGGAACCTAGATTTGGCTTATTTTTAAATTTCCCAATTGATTTCAATGCTCATATAAGTTTAAGAGATGCTGAATTTTTCAATTTTTTTTTAATTGGAAAAGCAGTTTCATTTTAACCTAATTAAAATATGATTAAGTGTATACATTTAAAGCCCACAATCACATTTTGATATTTTTATGCTCCTGTGTGGATATACCCACAATCAACATGATCAAAATAGCTATCATGCCCCAAAGTTTCCTCACATTTATTTGGAATCGCTGTTTTCTATCTCTCCCAAAGCTTATTCCTACTCTCAAGGAGCCAACTGTGCTCTATCTTTGTAGAAAAGTTTGTTTTTCTTATGCTGTTCCATAATTGGACTTACAACTTAAAAAATGTCGAGGAAAAATTTTTTAGTTGTTTGTTTATTTATTATCATTTTATGATACAATTCGATAGGCTCCTAGTATTTCCCTTATCCCAGCCCCAATTTCCCTCCTCCAATCACCTAGTTCCTCTATATCATTACTAAAGTATAATTCTTCATACACAGTCATATGTCCATCGTTGAGGGCATAGGCAATGGCAGAGTCCAGCATCCTAATGTCAATATATAGTAAACAGTTTCATTGTTAGTCCATCTTTTTCTGGAGATAGAAATGCATAATACATTGTATCCTCACATCTGGTTATGTTAGTCTCCATTTCACAGCTACTGTACATCGCCTCAAATGATACAAAATCAAAATACAAAATCAAAAATAGAAAGATAAGTAGAAATTTACAATGCCATGAAGTTAAATAACATGTTACTAGATATGAGAGTCTCCATGACACAGCTATTACACATCCCCTTAAATGAAGAGCCACAAAACAAAATTAATACCGGAAAGAAAAAAGAAATTAACAACACCATGAAGTTAAATAACATACTACTAAATAACTAACGTGTAGCTGAAGAAATGAAAATAAAGAACCTTCTTGCATAAAATGATGCTACTCTATGATCTATGAGCCATTGAAGAATTTAATCAGAAGAAAGTGTTTTGAAAAGATAAAACAAACAGAAAACATTGAAACCCATACGATATAGCTTCTGCTGATTTTTGTTGATGTGTGTCTCTTCTAGACAACAAATAGGTGGGGTTTTTTTTAATCCAGTCTACTGATCTATGATGTTTGATTGAGCTTAAGCCATTTACATTCAGGGTTAATACATATGGGTGGCACTTTGGTCATGTCATTTTAGGAATAGGTTGTTCATTGGTTTAATCTTCTTTTTGTCATTTTATTGGGATGTTCTTCACATTTGCCTTTGGTTTTGTTTGGTGCTGTTCCTCTTTTCTGTCAAGAGAACATCTTGAAGTATCATTTTCTTTGCTGTGGAAGAATTTTATTTCATTTTCAAGGATGAAAGAAAAATTTGCTGGATATGTTATCCTATGCCGACAGTTTTTTCTTTTAGAATCTGGAATATGTCACTCCATTCTCTTCTTGCCTGTAGAGTTTCCTGTGAGAGGTCTCCTGTGAGTTTAATTGGCATTCCTTTAAATGTCAATTTCACTTGCACATTTAGGGATCTTTTCCTTATGTTCAATTGAAGAGAGCTTGATGATCATGTTTCTTGGTGAAGATCGCTTTTGATCAAGCCTGTTCCGAGTTCTGTGCCCCTCCTGGATCTTGTTTCCCAATTCTTTCTCCAGATTAGGGAAATTTTCCTTTACTATTTTATTAAATATATTTGTAAAACTAACTTCTCTTTCTGCACCTTCTGGGACTCCCATAACTCTTATATTACGCCTCTTAATAATGTCTTTCAATTCTTGAATGATTTTTTTGGCCTGACACAGCTCTGCTTCCAGCTTTTGTTTGCTTCACCCCGATGACAGGAAATACCTTCCAATTCTCAGATTCTTTCTTCTGCTTGCTTCATTCTATTATGGAGATGCTCCACTGTACTTTTAATTTGCTCTACTGTGTTCTTAATTTCTGATGTATCAGCCTTGATTTGCTTTATTGCTGCTGTTGCTTGTGTAAAATATTCCTTAAATTCTATGAACTCGTGTATGTGCTTTTCATTGTTCTTAGAAGCTTTAAAAATGTTTTCTGAATTCTGTGTCCGCCATTTTCTCTATGTCTTCCTCAGTTAACCCTGAGATTGGCATAGGGTTTTGTTTCATTGCAGGGGAGTTTTCAGTAATATTCATTGTGCCTTTGTCTCTTCTTTTGCTCTTGGTCATTGTACTTCTGGTTAGCAGAGTCTTCTCCTTGGGGCAGGTTTCTAAGCTGTGTCACCCACAGTTCTACAGTTCGATTTTACTTATTGCCACTGGTACACAACTCTTTGGTTGCAGCCAATTATGCCTCTGCTTCCAGCGAGTTCCAGGTCTGGGCTCTTATGTTAGATTTCCACAAAAAACTCCTTAGCCCCAACTCCTGGTTCACCCATCTCCTCCTCCTGTGATATCATGCTGAGGCTGCACTGTTGTCTGTACAGCCTTTCCTCCATTTCCAGTTGGAGCAGGTCCCAGGATTAGGGAGACACCAGATGTCCTATATACCCTGGTTGTTCGTGGTGCTGATCATGCAGGAACCTGTTGGACTGTTAGGTCTTGGTGCCACGGACATATTTTTACCTGTACAATGCCACAGTTGGTATTATTTTCTTTTGGGACCAGCACAATCCACAGAACTCAGTGAGTTTTCATGAGCCCGGCACATGCGCAGTTCACAGTTGTTCCCAGCAATCCTAAAGCTTTTGCCACAGCGTACAAAATGGCACCTGACGTACCACTACTACAGTTCTTGATCTGCTGGCCATCAGATCTGAGGGCTACCCAGACCTGTCTTGGGTAGAACCTGTAGAATGCCACCTTGCTGCACCTCACTGCATCAGAAATGAATTAACTCCCAGCTCAGCCTATGCTCAGTCCTTTCCCTTGCCTTTTCCTCTTATGCAAAACGGCACCCAGTTTGGCTCTAGGGGGCTGACTGGGCTGTGAAATCCACCCTGTTCTCTCACTGCCTGTCTGGGATCTGCTGCTCTATCACTGCTCCTGGTCAAATCAAACAGAGCAGCAGGATGGACAGCTCTTTGTCTGGGTTCACCTCCCAAGTTCCTAGTGAAAGTCCCTTCCCACCTGGTTGCTAGTAGAGTTCTGGTTGCTGGTGGAGTTCAGATTGCTGTTAGCTGAATGGCCCTGGAGTATCAGACACTGCAACACCACACCATTGTGTCCACTGCTTTCCTGTGTCTGTCAGTCTCCAGGTACCCCTCTGCTGTTGTTCTGTCCTCTCCTGTTTCCTGGAATGTGTCCTCTCTACTTCATCCTGATTAAATGTTTCTCTTTCCATTTAAATGTGTCCTTACCCTATTCCGCCATCTTGATTCTCCAAGGAAAAGTTATTCCAAATGTTTATTTCTTTTTACATGCCCACTAGCTATACTTAAAGGTTTAGTTTCCCATATATTCACTCTGAATCTCAGAATGGCCAGTTTCTTAAAACTGTAACCATTCTAGTAAATTCTTATAAATGCATCACTGTGGTTTGCTACTTTAAAATAATTTGATCTTTTTGGATCTTGATTTTTAAGATATTGGAGTTGAGATTAGAGCAATTCTCTGTCTAGAACGAATTATTCTCTACAAAAGAAGCACGATTACTTTGTGTACACTGTCCAATGCATTGTGAATAATGACAGGGAAGTGGGGGTCTCTGCACCCTCAATTTTGACAACACCAGGAATAAAATAAAAAAAAAAAACTACTCTACATGAGCAGAAATCAATAATTAGATTCCACGTTGTTTATTATGAATGAATAGCATGCAACACTGTTTTTGTTTATGCTTAGTTTTGAATCTTTTCAAATGTTCCACAAAATGATTAGGCTTGGAAATGCTAATATTTATTGTTTATTTTTTCCCATTAATTTTTGCTTGAGAATATTGGAATTATTTGATATATAAGACTTGTCATTCTTCTACCACATTCATTTTCAAAGATGCATAACAGTCTTAACAATGCCAAACATCCAAATAGACACAGTTTTTGTTGGTCAGATCAAATAAAGCACATTGATATTAGTTGAAGAATAAAGAGAATAAACATCCAGTGTTGGGAGGAAATAACGTTCAAAGACATATCAAGGCCTGAGGGTTTTTTGTTTGTTTGTTTGTTTCTTTTTGTGTCATAAAGTAGGTAACCTCCACTCCTTTCAATTTCTCAATAGAAAAGGGTATAAGAGGACAAATATGACTACAAGAATATACTCAATCACTCTTATAAAGAAAGTAAAAATAAACTTGCAGGAGAGAATTTTGACTTCTAACAAACAAGTAATCAGTCCTAACAGGATTAATATTTCTTATTTTTGTTCCTCTGGCTAAGATAAAATGTAGATACTTTTTACAACTAGAGCTTAACATTATTTTTGAGGTGTCAAATATTTCAGAGAAAAATCCAGTAGCTATAGTGGAGAAGTTATAGACTTTAACCTAATAATCTAATAACAAATGTATCTCCTCATAAGGTATTCACACATGTTAACTAATAAGCACACTTAAATCTCCAAGAAATCTTCAGTGTCAAAATAATGAAGATTTTATGTTTAAACAACTTTGAGGTTCATTGGCTTATCCCTTCATATATTTCCTGTATTCACATCAACATTGTTAAACAAAATACTTGCTTATAAGCATCTGAATCACATAAACAGCATTTTTAAATACAGCAAATTATTTATTTTAAACGAAGTAAGTTATTTAAGCAAAGTAATTCATAGAAATATAGATAGATGTTGGATGATAGATAGATAGCTTCCTTTTGCTTTAGAAAAATTATGATAAGCTATCTGGGATGTTTTGTTTAATAGAAAAAGTGCTCTTATCCTACCAAACAGAAGGACAATTCCCACTTTATTTTCCTGGCATCATCCATGAGCTAACCTTGAGACATCTTGAGTATTTGTAATGCTTCCTTTTGTCTCCCATTATCTTTCAGCAATGTTACAGAAGCATCATCCTGAAGCCTTAGTACCTCATGTTATACTCAATGCTTACTTAATGATTGCTTATATTGTTTTCATGATCACTCATATTGTAATATATCCCAAATGCAATAGTTTGAGAAATCTAACGCAATGATTTTAAAGGATGAGACTCCATAGGACAAGTTTTATCATATTCCCACTATAACTTAATTTCTAATAATATGTATGTAATCCAACATTATATGAATAATATGAGAATAAGTGGAATTAAAATATACCTTTATTTTGGTGACAGCTATTTTGAAATATACATATTTTATTTTCATAATTTCTTTCTCTAACCTTTTGGGAAATACCTCATGCATGAAAAAAAAAAGCCTTCATCTAAATAAATGGATACTTCAATTTCTTTTTTCATGAGCCTTTGAAGCTCCCTGACATGCTTTTCATATCAGACAGATGAATTTCTAAAATGCTAATATTTAAATATATTCCTTTTTTTAAATGCTTGAAAAAGGGATATCCCAAGTGAGACAGAAGTGAACTGTGGGAGAATAGAGGAAATGGGAAAACTGCCTTCTCACCTCGTTAGAAAATCATATTAAACATTTGCAGCACCAATAAAAGAATCTCATATTGACAGACTTCCAAATAATGTGGGTCCACTTGGGAAAAGAAAATCAAAATATCTAAACACAGAGAGCAATTACCGGATTATTACCATTAACAATATGACTAACATTTTTATTTGTTTTTTTAAGGTGACGTATTTGTTTGACAATGGAGGGACAGTCTTCTTTGCTATTTTTATGGCAATATGGGGTAAGATGTTCTTTCATTATTTTCTAATACTTACGTTCTGAGACCGTTGCTGTGTTTCTCTTTCTCTCTCTCTGTCACTCACACACACACACACACACACACACACACACACATCAATGTGACAAGAAATCATCCAGGCTGGCACTTGTGTAGCCTTCTTTGGAAGTTTGACTACTGATCTAACTTGCCAAGATCTTCCTACACGTAGAAATGTATTTTTCCTTCAGATGTGTTTTTTTTTTTTAAAAGCAACTGAGATAAAACATACAGTTCTTATCTTTTATATAGCGACGATTAGAAAAATCTTGTTTGCTTGATATTTCCGTTCCTTTTAGGGGGTTTCATTCATGTTTACATGCAGAATTTTTCCACATATGATTAAACAATAATGTTCAATACATGATCAACCCTATTCCTATTTGCACAATTTACAACTGTTCACATTTGACCCCTTTTCATCATGTTCCTGTCTGATCTCTCATTATTCAATTATGTTTAGCCTAAAATACATTCAGATAAATTATAATTCCACAACTCTTGAAAACTTTTAGAGAAACTATTACTTTTCTGGTTGATGCCATTTTTTGAACTATAACATGTTGAATGTGTCTGTGATCATATTGGGAGCTCAAGGGTTTACCATGCAAGTGTTGATGCGTCAAAGCACAATGGAATAAAACACAGGCCTTTCATCTAAATGCCTTCATTTCCCAGGATCAGAGATTCACTAGCACATATTCTTTCCTTGTTTAAACAAAAAGTAAGAAATTAAAAATACTTAATTAAAATATAAAGTGAATTTAATCAACTTTAAAAACCCATCCTTCCAGTTCTCCTTCAAAAACACGCTAATCTATATTTATGGCGCCAGAACTACAGGTGAGGCAGAAACTGTCAATTCCATTGGGTTTTGCTGAAGAAACAAATTAAAATGAGATTTTTGTTCTCTATTTATGACAAAGGAACTTCACAGCTAAATCATTAGGAAATGCTGTCATAATGAACATTTTATTTGTGTGATACCACAAACATCCTTTAAAGACAAAAATGAAAAAAAAATTGCTAATTACAGTTATGTAAATTAGAAATTATACAACTAAGATCTGTAACAAAGTTTTTACATGATTTATCTTCACTGTGCTTTTGTAGAAGTTTAATGCTTTTAAATTCTTGATGCACAATCTATAGGACAATGTTCTTGCAAATTCTTTTAGAAGATGAATTTGTTAAAATGTCAGGAAATAGTTGACGCTTGCTGTATGTAGCCAACTTCGTTTTAATTTGATATAGAGGTACGAAGTGCAGGTATGTCTTCCATAGGAATGCCATCCCGTGCATGTTCTCGGGTTTGTGGCACAGAGGAGTCATTCACAGTTGGATTGTAGTAACTAGAATTCCCAAAACTCACATCATAAGGTTCAGGTGCATTGTCTAATCGTAAAACTAAAAAGTAAAAAAGTAGGATCATTTCTTAGTATACTTTGAGAGAAACAAACTCATATATCTTATATTAACAATATACAGGAATTGTTCTAGATAAGTAAATAGGTTTAGCTTTCATGTTCACTTTAACATATTAACTATGAAATGTAGAGCAAGTAGATATCATTCCATCTTTCCAAGGCTAAGAGAACAGTTTGAATCCCCAAATTTCAATGTTGGAGATATATATTAAAAAAGGAACTAAAGAGAAGATTACAATGAAGTTTAAATAACTTATAAAGAAATAATGTTTAACTGACTATTTTGTCATTTCAGAGCTTTTCAACATGTTTAGAAATTTAATATGGTATAAAGACTAGTTTTGAGAATTTGATCTATTTTTAAAAATAAATAAGTCACTTCATTTATGGTGGAGGAATTAAAGATTAAATGGGGCTGAGGTTTGTTATTCATGAAGCTTTTTCTCCTTTTAAAAAATAACTTACCTTCCTAATCATTTTGAATTTATTTTCAAAGAAAAACTAGGCATGTACTAGGTGTCATAAAGTAGCAATAACCAACTGATTATTACATTAATAATCTAAGTATGCAAGTGGGTTTCATTATATACTTATCTACTTATTCCATAAGACACAAATTCCATTTTTTTTTAATTTTCAAAGAGTGGCAGAGTGGCACTTTTATAAGTGAGTTACTAGACCCCTAAAACAGAAGACATCTCAATTTACAATAAATGAATTTGTTTTTAACACGAGTAATGTGCCATCAGTTGTGATGCCCACAGCTCAGTAACATATCAGTGAAAGCCACCAAGAGCACTTAAATGCTTAATATAGTCACGAAATCTTTTGTCCAAATCAGAAAGCAGATTTTTTAACTCCCTAAAGATAAAAACTAAGTTAGGCGTGTGAAATAATTATCCTCTCTATTCTAATCCACACTTTGGTATTAAAGATCAACTGTATTGCTTTATTTTTATCATATGTATTTTTCATTCATTTGCAACATATAAGTCATAAATTCCAAACTAAGGTCATATGATTCAATATTTGAAAACATGCAATACACTATGATAGCAAGCAGAAGGTTGTTGTCAGTGTAAAACTCTTAGGAAGAGTTATAAATAGAGAAAATAGTGTTTGTCCAGATTATACCTACTAAACGATCTAACAAATAGCTTTGTAGGCATTTAATGATCAAATTGGCTTTTTAAAAAAATTAATGTCATAGTGCTATATTCCAATTTGTACATGCATTTTAGATTTTGAAATTGGTTTTTTGAGCCAATGAGCAATAGTTTCAAATGGCAATTAAATATTCACAATAACTATGTTGGTTTTGTTATTTGAGAAACAGAAGGCTGATCACAATAAAGCCTTAGTCTATCTTTTTTAATGTGGATTCCTGAATCCCTTCCTGTCAATGCTGTGCAACTGCATTTATTTAAAAAACATTGTGAACAGATGAAGATTCTGGAAGTGTTTATTACCTGGTTCATTTCTGTCATCATAAAGTCGTCGATGGGAAAATGAATCCGTTTTCCTTTTACTACATAGCAAGTAGCCAACAAGACTGAGCAGTGATACACCCAGAATAGCAGCTAAAATTGTTCCAAATACTACTCCTGTATTTCTATTCTCTAGAAGAAAAGAAATGTGCAAATACAGATGAGATATTGAAATTATTTTAACAAATATAAATATATGTCATATGAAAGAATGCTTTAATGTTTTTATAATTAAAAAATTATGAGTGTATATATGTGTTACAAAGTCCTGACTATTGAGATATATTGAGAAACTACTTCTTGATGAATTCATGAAGTAGTTCAATAATATTGCTAAGTCTTGTATTAATAAGTGATTATTTACTAAATGCCAATAGCACTCAATGTTATGTGTGCTCCATGAAGATATAATTTCAGTGTTAAATGTTACACTAGTTCGGGTTTTCATAAACTTTGAATTTCTGAGGAACAAATGGACTTCAAGCTTATTTTCATAAATAATTCAAGAGTATAAACTATTAATAAAGAATAACTGAAAATAAACCATGAAATTCCAAGGAAAAAGCAGCGTATTCAGATATAGGATATATCTACAAAATGATAAATACCTAAAGATTTCTGCCATTGCAAGGCAGCTTGATTTTTAAGGGAGCCAAAAATTTAAAATTCACTGCTTCATCAATAAAACCACGGAATGCTTTCTATACTCGCATTTAGTGAAGTTTCTTAATTATAGAGACAATTTCATTAGTTATGAAAGTGAGGAATCCTGTAGTATTCTCAGAAAAAGTCCATTTTAAGTTGTTACATTTCACTTACAGTACAATAAAATTATATTGGAAAGAGATGGAGAGTTAACTGAATTTTCTTTTAATGAAAATGCAATGGGAGGAGAACTCAGTACTCTCAACAATTTTTGAAAAACAGAATAAAGCTTTTGGGTGCACATTTTTTGAAGTATCTGCTCACAAAGCTTCTCAAAAGTTTTATAAAGCTTTGTGTGGCGTTGTGTGAAGATGCTTGCATGCTAGCACACCGTGTCAGAGTGCTGGTTTGGGTCCTCGTTGCTCCTTTTCTAGTTTAACTTCTTGACAAGGTGCCTAGAAGGCAGAAGCAGAATGCCCCAAGTGCTTGGGCACCTGCCATCTATGTGGAAACCAGGATGGAGGTCCTAAATCCTGACTCTAGCCTGGCACAGATTTGCTGGCTGTGGCTATTTGGGGAGCGAACCACAGGACAGCATATTTCCTGTTCTTCATATCTCTGTCTCTGACTCTATATTTGATTCTTTTTCTGTAACTCTACTTTTCAAATGAGTAAGTATTTTTGTTAAAAGTATTTTTAAATGCATTTTGGAAAAATAAACTAAGTGTGGATTTCAAAAATGTTTGCATCACAATGAAATTAATTTTAATTATACACTCTATTTTTTGGAAGTGTTTTGAAGTGATTTTTGAAGTGTTATTGAGTTTAGATAGACACAGACTATGCCATTCAGAAGGGATACCATAGTACAGAATGGATAACCAAGTGTGCTAAAATTACATACAAAATGAAAAATAGTATATTTAGTTAAAATTGTTACTTAGTATGTCCGAACCTATTACTACCTCTCCTTCATCTTACCTCGACCTACTATACTTCTCTCTTTCCTCTCTCTCTTATGATTCTGTACAATGGTTGCAATTAAGTACAGATTTTATAATGTAAAATATTTCTAGTACAGACAGAAACTTTCACACACGTTTATGAGATTTAATTTTCATATTATTAGTATTTCATGTAAGTTGCACTGAAATCAGTATATTTCATAGATAGGAAAACAGTATTTACTTTAAAAAAATTTCCAAGGAGAAAAAAAATCATGGTTAGAGTTGAAATAAATGTAATTAATGATTAACTCTTACACATCTTTTCCATTTTATGCTTACAGCCCCTAAATGAAATATAAAAATGTTCACATGATATTGTTTTCTAACACTTAAATCAAATTCGATTTTTATTGTATTCATTAAGTACCAACCTAAAAATTAAGCAGGAATTCCTTAGT